TGAATCTCCCTCGCTCCAGGCAAGTACAGCACTGTGGACTTGGTGTAGAGGCCGCAAGGAAAGCATTAGCTTTGGGAGGTGGAATTTCTTCTTTTAATGCAGTTGCCCAATAAGTGTATTTCTGGTGCATTAGTGAGCGATTGATGTCGAGAAAAAACACGCTTTATTAATCTCCCCAATGACTGTGTACGTGAGTCCCAGAGAAGAGCTTTCACAGAAAGAATCCCATTCATTGTTCAGTGTAAACTGCACCTAGTAACTGGCAGTTTCCCAATTTTTTTTTTGATTGTTGTCTGTTAAAGACTTTTTTTGGTAAATGTGGAGACCCCTGGTGACTTTATTCTTGCTGGTAATAGGCTTGCTTTCCTTCCTTAGCTTTTGTACCCCCCTTAGACCTAGTTTTGAGAACTACCTCATGAAAAGCTATCAAGAAATCATCTGAGATAATGACAAATCTTGCTGTTTGTTTTCTGTGTGCTTCTGTTTTCTCCTCTCCCTTTCCTTGCGTTTGTGGTTGCAGTTTTGCTGTTCTGGATGGACTTCTCATGTGCTTCCCTTTAGCTCTGTTCCGCAGTCTTTTCGCCCTCTCCCCATTTGCATTGTCTCTGCTCGCTGCAGCACGCTCGTCTGATGATAAGTGTGCTGGCAGAAAAGTGACACTTGCTAAACTCCCCGGGTGAAATCCTGGTCTCATTGAAGTTGGTGGCAAAATTCCCATTGACTTCAGCGTGGCCAGGGTTTCACCCTTTAGCTTTGAAGTGTTCAGCGCTTCCGAGAGCCAGCAGTTCTGTAAGCTCTGCTTTGCTCCGGGCAGTCTGATTGCATCAGAAATTAGAGCAGAAAGAATGGTGTCACAGGGCCACCGGCCTGCGAAGGAGTTTCTCGGCTGTCAGGTGCTACATTAGCTTTGCTCCTGAGGGGGTTTTGTGACAAATTTATCTGAGCTCGAGTTACTTTGGCTCTCAGATTGAGTGAGTTTTGCGTCCCATTTTATATTTTTAGTCTTCTTTTCATTTGACATTTGATTGCTTTAATTCAAATCACTTAGAAGTGCAGAATCCCCTGGCCAGCTGTGCTTGTTTGTTTTGTGAGCCAGTTTACTTTGTGGCTTACTTTTCATTTCTTGATTGGAGCCTCACAGGACTGTTTCCCAAATTGTTTCGAACATTTCATTACATTTCATTACCTGCATTCACCCTTTCCTTCATATGGTAATATTATTCTTTATTTTTAAATGTTGGCAGTTTTTCTGAACATGTCAAGACAAGTGTTAAGAAAAATGTCATGATTTTATGCTATTTTTTATGACAAAACCAGAGTGGAAATGGAAACATACTGAGACAGAAGCAGGGTAGTATGTGCGTGTTGGGAGGGAGGAGAGGTTTCAAGATGTGCAGTATGGTGAGGCAAATCACACTTTCAAATGTTCTCAGAAGTAACCATCAGGTTCACTGTTTCCCTAAAACACTTCCCCAAAATCGTAGGGATTGATTGAGATTTCAGGTGTGTGAATAGTGTATGACAGAAACTGCTGTCCTGCCTGATTAGCGCTCTGTGTGGGTCTGGTTCTGCCTCAGCCGTGGGCAACCGTTGGCTGGAGCTAACACAGAGCAGCGCGGCCACTGGTTTGGGACTGGGAGGTTGGGTCACTGCGCCCCTTTAGCAGCCCAGTAAGAGAATCCAGGAGCCCTGCCCTGATAATATTCCTTTTCCTTTGTAACTGTGCAACGTGGGGCGGGGTGGACGCTGACTCTGCCCACCACAAACCGAGAGGTCTGCAGGGGAACTTTTCTTAAGACTTGGCCTATCTTCTTGCCCTGGTGGTGCTTATTTTCTGTCACCTGGTTGCTTTTGAACCCTTTATCCTTGGACCGTGGCATCGAGCGGTTAAAAATTGGGGGTCGCGGAGGCGAGGGGCGCTGAGTGCCGTTGCTGTCGTCTACAGCAGCCTCGCCTTACAGGGAGAGCAGGGTAGGGAGAGCTGGAAGACAAGTGCAGGCTTGTAGGTCTGATGCCTCTGATAGCACCCTTTGCTTTCTGCAGTGCTGACAGGCAGGAGCTGCCAGGACCGTACCACAGCATGCCCTCTGCCAGAGTGAATCCCTTTTTATTTCGTTCTCTGAAGGCAACGTCGCTGCTTCTTTTACGGCTGTTAACCCAAAAGCTGCCAAACACCCTGCTCCTTTTAGAGCTGGATGCCTTCGCAGAGGCAAAGCAATGCTGGGAGGCAAAGGGGTCTGTAGGTGGTGGAATCGCCAAGCACCTGTGCTGAACAGGGAGCCGCCACCGGGATTGCAGTTTGGGTCTTAATTTATATGATCTTTTGGGTTATTATGGTAATTGCTCGCACAAAGAGTCATCTCCTTAGAATTTCCTCTTGTGGCTGGTCGTGATAGAGTCACGCCTTGGTTTCTACCACAGGGAATTTCTAGAATGTCTTTGGATTAGTCAGAGCTCCAATAATTAAAAAAATCCCCCAAAAAAACCTTGGAGCAAAAATGAGTCTTGCCTGTGCTGCCGTTTTAAGACTCAAAGCTCCCGCAGCTTTTATTGCAGCCGAAGCGGAGGTACAAGTGGGTAGCATCGTGTCCCCGGTGCAGGGGGAGCGCCAGGACTTGTAGTGGAGTTAGCTGGAAGTCCTTCCATCAGCATTTGCACCTTCAGCCACCCCCTTTCCCTGCGATGAAGCTAAACTTCTGTCCTGCAGCGGGCTGGGTTAGTTCACTGGTGATAACAGTGACCTTGTTACGCGCTGTGCTCCATGGTTACCCTGAAGCTGTGAATCGTAGAGTGTAAATATCAAATGTCAGTGTCTCTATTTTTCTCTCTTGGTCACTCTCTTTGCAGGTGTTCAGAACGGACCTGATCACTGCCATGAAGTTACATGACTCCTTCCAGCTGAACCCTGATGAATACTATGTGCTGGCAGACCCCTGGAGGCAGGAGTGGGAAAAGGGAGTTCAGGTGCCAGTTAGCCCAGGGACCATCCCAGAACCAGTAGCCAGGTATAGTTTGGAGGAATGTAAACAAATACACATACGTTTATGCTAGCGGCTTATGTCTACGTTGCCTTGGCTTCTTGAGCTTTATTCCACCGCGTCTAGCTAGAAAGGTCTTGGTTCTCGGAGACAAAGAGCAACCTGCCTCAGCTTTCTGAACAGTCGGAGCGGTCAAGAGTAAGGCCTGTTCTGCCTGTGTGTTGAAATACGAATGTCAGAGAACGATTTTTGGCATTGCATTGGGATGGAGTGTGATGACAGAACCTTAAAAATAGCTTCTGTTCTTGAGCCCAGACTTGACCTCACTCAGCATGGCTGGGACAGCCCTTGTCTGATGCTTCTTGTGCTTGGTTCCAAGCTGTAGGTTCCTTTCAAGGAACAGTTAGACAAGCCAGACTTAAGGGCTAGAGAAAATACAGGGTTTATTTTCGTTTCACGTTATTTTTTTGGTTGTTTCGTTTACTAACTTAGGAAATTGTTTGTTGTACAACATTTCAGCTGTTTTAAAGAACCATCCAGATGTGCACGTAACTAAATATACATGAATGTGAGATTTTCTAGCTCTTATCCAAGAAACCCATGTTTTCCTTACCTTGTTTGTTACACTTAGGTACTGCTTTCTGTTTCAAATTAAACGGTACAGTTGGAAGGGCAGGAGCGTGCTGCAGCCCATATGTCTGTTTCATGCTTAGTTGGGATTGGAGTTGGAGAAAGTGCCCACAACGAAGATCGTTGCCATTTAATCGCACTAGATCTCTTTGAGTAAGTCCAGGCTGGCCCGCAAGGTGTTACCAAATGACCCACCAGTGCTGGTGGGGCTACAACAGCCCAATCTCTTAAAATACAGCAAAAAAGATTGGGGTGACGCTACACTGCTTCTGTTAGGTCTGCGTCTGCCAGCTTTAACCTTGGAGCAGAGGGCCTACAGGAATGTTTGTTAGCGTTTTTTGTGTACTGTGCAGCGACCTGCAGGCTGCTGCACAGCCCCGCTAGGTCTGTACGATGAGGAAGTTACCCACACATCAGGTAAACCCCTTCCTTCTGAGGAGAACTCGGCATTTTCCTCTCTGCTGTGCAGCGGAGAACGTAGGAGGGCACCGTTTCCCTGCAGTGCCCGCAGCCTGCTCCACACTGACCTCACCCAGTCCCTGCAGAAACGCCCCCCACATTGTACTTGCGTGCTCACGTCGTCTTCTCCTCACTGCTCTCTCTTCCAAGCGTCTCCCAAGGCTGCAGGAGGGCCGGGAGATCTGCGGACTTTAGCAGCGGGAGACCTTCTAGGGGGTCCCAACCCCCTGTCTTTCAGGGAGGTGATGTAGCGGCTGTATCAGATCCAGGTACTCGCTGAGGAGAGAGCAGAGAGCTTTCCTCTGCCAACGGCCACCAGAGATG